ACAAAGTTCGGGCTTCACTACTGCCAGAATTTCAGAATTGGCACCTTTGATGTTCAAAACTCCACAAAGCATCCTTCTTGCTTCTTTTTGGCCAATGGACCTGAAAATGTGCAAAAACATACAATTGGAGATAATCTATATAAAATACACAAATAAAGAACTTAACTAATGCAATTTAGGGCGCTTGAATATACAAGATTCGGCGCTTATCAGGTGTGATGAGCGCTCAAAAGTGCGCATTTAAATCCCTTAAGCTTTAGTGTTCTAGGACCTTTATCTATCTTATTTTTTCGTTTTAGACTAATTTCGTGTTATTTCCCTTTTTAGGTCAATAAAGTTAAAACGAGCTAAAAATGGTTTCTTAAGGCCTTTTTGGCGTCAAACTAAGTCTTTGTGAGAATTTGGAGCAAAAGGAGGCTAATTTGGAGCAAAATGAGGCTGATGCTGAAAAACTGCCAAGTGAGATCTATCGCAGAAAGATTGATCGATCGAACCAAGATCGATCAAAAGTTGGATCGATTGAAAATGTGCTGGCAGCGAGCTGTCTTATTTCCGTGTGCCCCAACTCCACCTACCAAAAAGTTGCGGGATTAGATATTTTTGGCGCTATATTTCTAACTTAATGGCTAAGAAAAGGACCTTGTATTTAAAGGGAATTGAACCATTTTGTAAGGGAGCTTTTTATCATTTTATTTTTACATTGTAATTTTATTTTTTCTCTCTAGAAAAGTTAGATATTAGGGTTAGAAGAAAAGAGAAGAGTAGAGGCACCAAGAACACATTTCTAGATCTACGCACACTCTCTCTCTAGAATTTAATAAAGAAGAATAGGAAGAAGATGGAGCCATGTTTGGGGATTGCCCATGAGGTTTCCAAGATCACATCTACCTCCTCCATGATTGACTAGACTTCTCCTTGGGGCTTGGATGAGCCCCAAGTTTGTAATCTAAACCTCTATCTTTTTCATACTTTTTAGGAAATAATATCTTGTGATTAGTGTTCTAGCCTTGTGAATTTAATGAATCTTGGTATATTTCTATGATTTCAATTCTTCCTATTAATTCTCTAATTTATTTACATGTTTATGTGTGATTAAATTGGGAATTATGTCTCACATGATTCATTTGGTTTAATACTTCCTATTGATTCTCTTTGTGGTTACATGTTGTCTTATGTGTGATTATTTGGGAATTGATCTCTACACTAGTTTTTCTATATTAATTGCATGTCTATGTGTGGTTCATTGAGAATCTAGTGATGGCTAGACATGGTTTTTATTAAATGGGTTTGTCAATTAATTTGATGGATTATTCTTATACTTAATGGGTTGTTCTACAATTTAATTCATACTTCTAGGTAGGTAGACAATCATTACTTGATTTGATATTCCATGATTTATTATTGCAAATTTCATGATTCTCTAGATTGATGTATCCTACAATTGTGACTAGTTTGATGGGTCGTTCTTAAAATTGATGGGTTGTGCTACACTTAGTTTATTTGTCGGTTAGGTAGACAATTCATACATGAATTTGATGATCCATGCTTAATATTGCAATTCATAGTTGCATTTTATTCAAAAGAAGGTTTTCCCTAATTAGTTGAAAGTGTGTGGTGTGGTGAACAAGCTTGGTGGCAATTCCAATAGACCCCAAGACCTCACTTGTCATCTCTTAAATCCCTATCTCAACTTAGTTTATTTTAATTGCATTTTAATTCCTTGCATCTTAGTTTAATCAACCAATCTCTCTCTTTGCAATCAATCAATACATTAGAGTTGAAGTTAAATTCCAACACGTATAATCTCTGTGGACGATCCCTACTTGCTATACTTCATTAGTTGTAGTAGTGGTTTTTATAAATGTAAATTTGACTAGAAAGGCTTCCGAAACCACATTCATATTTTGACCTTGCGAAACGACCTCTCGCATTAAAAAGTCAGTTTTCTAAACACTTGGAAAGGGGCTCGTCAGCAAGTAAGATTTAGAGTGACATTGGATTTTAGTGAGGAAACCAATTAGATAACCTTAAGTTTTTGTACGCTATACCAAGTGTAAAACGATCCACTATGTATGAAACAAAGTATACCAAACTTTGACTCAGATTCCAGCCCTTTCACTCTACTAACACTTAATCCCCTTAATGCCCCTGACTTTGCGACTTCCCGTCCAACATCTCTCGAGTTTAGACTTATATCTCGAACCTTGTAGAAGGATTACTGATAGATCAACAACACTCTACAAGCGCCTTGATCCGCAATCCCTTCAAAGTGTGATTGGAAATTCTTCTTCTTTGAATCTGAATCTGTTGTAGAAGAAATAAAATATGCTTTCTCTGATCGTTGTAGATGCAATCTTCAATAGACTTGAACATGATTAGGATATGAACAACACACTATATTCACCCTATATAGTGTGTATGTTCTTAAAAATCTCACAAAAATGCTCTTAATGAAATCAGAATTTTAATGCAAAAATCCACATAACCCTATGTGAGAAAATATGCTTATATAGAATTTTAAAACCCTAATTGTACTTGTAAAATAAGTCAATTTTGTGCATAAGGTTTTTGGAGAAATTCTATACAGAATAGGAAGTAAAAACGGAGTAGGAAACAAAGTTACCAAAAACTATTGTACAACTTGAACTAGTTCAGCTGCCCTTTAACCAGATCAAGTTGGCCAGTGTGTTATTTTAAAAATGAAGTATTAACACTTGAACTGGTTTAGCAGCCCTTGAACCGGTTCAAGTTGGCCAGACCAGAATTGGAGGCTTTTAAACTTAGAAAAATTTCGGCAACGTTTATTTTTGAAAAATATGCAACGCATGCAAGTATCCTTACATTCTAACTAAACATCCTAAAGTGTTGCTCTTACTTTTCTCGAAGTCATCAAACTATAATCACGAACAACTCTCTAATTACCCTTCCAATCTCGAATTTGAATTTGAACTTAAAATTAAAACTCAATCGGACTTGTTTTGACAATTTTTTTATCCGAATACAAATTTTATATCTCACAAAGCAAGAGGTAAAGAGCATTGTAGGTGTTTTTAAGGTTAAACACGTGATTATGTGTCTTTCCACTAGGATTAACTCAATGTGTAGAGATTTTCTCTGATACCAATTGTGAGTTGTGCAACAGAATAGAATGTGAAAAGTTGAGTTTTAAAAACTGTTTTAGAGAGGGATTTATCACGTGTTTCTTTATTCAATTTACTTTACTAAAATTATCAGTTATTTAAACAATCACACATAATTTAAAAGCAATTAAGGTTTAGAGTGACCCTGGATTTTAGTGAGGAAACCAATTAGAAAATCTTAAGTTTTTGTACGCTATCCCAAGTGTAAAACGATCCACTATGTATGAAACAAAGTATATCGAACTTTGACTCAAATTCCAACCCTTTCACTCTACCAACACTCAATTTGCTTAACGTCCTGACTTTGCGACTTCCCATCCAACAGCTTTCGAGTTCAGACTTATGTCTCGAACCTTGTAGAAGGATTGCTGATAAATCAACAACACTCTACAAGTGCCTTGATCCGCAATCCCTTCAAAGTGTGATTGGAAATTCTTCTTCTTTGAATCTAAATTTGTTATAAAAGAAATAAAATCTGTTTTCTCTGATCGTTGTTGATGCAATCTTCAATAGAGTTGAACACGATTAGGATATGAACAACACCCTAAATTTACTCGTGTGTATATAGTGTGTGTTCTTAAAAATCTCACAAAAAATGCTCTTAATGAAATCAAAATTTTAATGCAAAAATCCATACAACCCTATGTGAGAAAATATGCTTATATAGAATTTTGAAACCCAAATTGTACTTGTAAAATAAGTCAATTTTGTGCATAAGGTTTTGGAGAAAGTCTATACAGAATAGGAAGTAAAAACAGAGCAAGAAACAAAGTTACCAAAAATTGCTGTACAACTTGAACTAGTTCAGCTACCCTTGAACCAGTTCAACTTGGCCAGTGTGTTATTTTAAAAATGAAGTATTAACACTTGAACTGGTTTAGCTGCCCTTGAACCAGTTTAACTTGGCCAGACCTGAATTGAAGGCTTTTAAACTTAGAAAAATTTCGACAACCTTTATTTTTGAAAAATATGCAACGCATGCAAGTGTCCTTACGTTCTAACTAAACATCCTAAAGTGGTGCTCTTACTTTTCTCGAAGTCATTAATTTATTGATCACGGACAACTCTCTAATTACTCTTTCGATCTCGAACTTGAATTTGAACTTAAAATTAAAACTCAATCAGACTTGTTTTGATAATAAAATTCTCCGAATACAAATTTTATATCTCAGAGAGCTAGAGGTAAAGAGCATTGCAGGTGTTTTTAAGGTTAAACTTGCCGGTGGGGGTGAGAGTCCAAAGGATTTTGTCCTGAGCACGAGTAAGTAAAGGAAGGTTATCCAGAGCACGAGTAAGTCCAAAGGTTATCTGTTGCCAATTGATGGGACAATGGCTCGAAATTTGGATTGATTCTCCATTGAGAATGCCAACGAGTAAGTAAAGAAGGAAAAGGCTATCAGTGTGGCCAATTGATGGGACACTGGCTCAGAAATTTGGATTGATTCTCTCCATTGAGAATGCCTAATGAGAGAACTGACCTCAGCATCATCATCCCATTGAAAATTCTCAAGAATTGAACAGTTGATCTGCTGTCAAGAGGTTGTATTGGTAGCCAATAATCATGCCAGAGAGAAATGTTTTTACCATCCTTCATCTCTGCTTTATTTTACTTTGAATTTATTTTTCTTTGTGGGTTGATTAGTTCACATTTAATTTTGTAAATTTATTTTAAGTAAAAATTTAGATAAAAACGCACGTAACACTTATTCACCCCTTAATTGTTTTTCAACCCATATTCCACCACCTATTTCGCTCTGCAACTCACACTCAACAAAGGAACTCTTTTATAAACCTCAAATTGTATTTTTTTCTTTTTTTAATTTTTTTATAATCAATACAAATTTAAAAATAACATAATAATGATAATAAATATAATAATAATTAATTTATATTAATTAACAGCACATCACCTTTTACATGGTAATAAAATGATGCATGCAACAACAAAAATAGTACGTTCTAAACTTCTAGTACACATGAAAAATGGATTTAATAGTGTTACACTCAGCTTAATAGTACAGCTACTACTCTTAGTGGTGACCGTTGTTATTCATGAACATCCTCCCAGTCATACCGCAGGTAAGAGCCTCGTGAGGTATGTTAAGCTCCTTGATGCGGTTGACACCTTCAGCAAAGATGACCCCCATACCCATATGTAAGTGCGGCTCAATGTGACAATGAAATGCCCAAACACCCGGATTGTCTGCAACAAACCTCAGTGCAGTCCATCCGTGAGGGAAGATCACCGCGGTGTTCCTCAGCGGCGGATTCTTCAAGTTGAGCTTCTTCTCATCCTTTCCGGGATTAAACTTGCCGTCTCCGTATCCCAACACCCAAAAATCATGTCCATGAAGATGCCACGGGTGTATCTCACTCGTGTTCTTCGCCAACGCATTCGCATTCTGAAGTATCACGTCCACTGTGGTGTTGAACTCGAACACGTACATTCCACTCCCATACGTGGAGTTGGGATTCACAGGAGGCTGCATCACGTCGTAGAATTCGGGGTAGTTTTCTGGCGGGCTTTGGTGGTTGTAGGCACCGTTTAGTTGGTGTTTAATTGCACCCAAATAAGGAGTTGAAGGTAAGGATAGGGAAATGTTGTTGATTGCCCACTTGGTGTATCCATTGATGTAGTTCTGAGTGTTGAGGAGGGTAATGCGGCGGTGGTGGGTGGTCGGGGGATTGGGATAATCCGGCAGCATGCGAGCACGGATTTGGTAGGTGAATGACTTGCTGTGGTTGTAGTCGTTCCAGAGAGGAGCTACTGGAGGTGGTGATGCTGGAAGCTTTGATGCGGAGGTGGTTTTATAGTTTATTATGGTGAGGGCTTGAGGGGTGTTTGGTTCTCTTCCCCTTACACTTACTGAAATCCAGTAGTTCTTGGAGGGGTCTTGATCTGTTTTGAATAGAACTGAGTAGCTCTCGCCGGAGTAGATGTCCAAGTCGTTCACATAAAAAGGTTGCACATAATTTCCATCTGCTTCAACCACCTCCATCTTGTGATGCTGCAAACCACCACAATAATTAGTTATATATATCACATATTAATTAAAAGAGTAACTCTGTTGCATGCATGGAATTGGTGCTTCCAATTTTTTTTCTTCCAAATTTTGTCTGTTTCAATTTTAAGACATCAATTTCAAACAAACATAACATAGCATAAGTATATCATGAGACACGATCTCGCATGTTAGTACAGTCATGATGGCTTTCATAGTCCTAAAATGCATATATGGATGCATATACACTAATATATTTCTCCTTGTTAACCCCAAATGAGAGATATAATGCCTAATTTGGTGTAAATCAATGAAATGGAATGAGAATGAAATGCAGTTGGAAATGAAATGGGAATGGGAATGGCAATGAGAATGGAATGCAATAGTTATTCTCATTTTATTGTTTGATTGCAAATATAAAATCATGTACAAATCAAATAATAATCATCATTCTAAGTGATAGTGGTAGAAGACAATGAAGGTTGTGGTAGTAGTGATAAAAGGTGGTGGTGGCCAAATATTTTATTTTTAGAATGAATTTTCATTCCACCGAGTTTAGATGTGAAATAGATTTTCATTTATGAATTCTTACTTTAAATGTCATAGCAAACATGAACTTAAGAGTGATTGAAATTCACATTACATTCCATTCACCAAACTAGGCTAGCGGATGGATGAGGCATATATAAGTACTAAGAGCACCAACTCGAATCCATAAAATCATACAAAAATTAGAAATTTACTACCAAATATCCTAAAAAGAGCACAATCGTGAAGAATATATACTTAATTAAAAAAAATAATAATAAATGAAAAAATAAAATAATAAATAAATAAATAAAGTATGTCATTAAGTAAAACACAAAATATCAATAAAAAATCCAAATGATGATGTATATGATGCATGACACGTTAAAACGTTATAAATACTGAAAACTGAAAAGGCATAAATTAAAATAAAGTCACAATGAGTAGATATCCAATATTATTGTCATGATCTTTGTTTGTGGGTTTCTTCTCATATAACTTTTCATACTATTCCATTATTTTTATTGTTTCATAAAATAAAAAATAAAAAAAAAAGATCATATTTTTATTTTAAATAAATATCTTATCAATCTAAATCACGAGGATGCATAAAAGCAATGAAGCCCTTGAACGCACCAAATAGTACTCTCTTTGTCTCATTTTAGATGTCGGTTTCTAAAATGAATTTTCATTCCACCGAGTTTAGATGTGAAATAGATTTTCAATTATGAATCCTTACTTTAAATGTCATAGCAAACATAAACTTCAGAGTGATTGAAATTCACATTACATTCCATTCACCAAACTAGGCTAGCGGATGGATGAGGCATATATAAGTACTAAGAGCACAAACTCGAATCCATAAAATCATACAAAAATTAGAAATTTACTATCAAATATCCTAAAAAGACCACAATCATGAAGAATATCTACTTAATTAAAAAAATTAATAATAAATAAATAAATAAATAAAATAAAGTATGTCATTAAGTAAAACACAAAATATCAATAAAAAATCCTAATGATGATGTATGTGATGCATGACACGTTAAAACGGTATAAATACTGAAAACTGAAAAGGCATAAATTAAAATAAAGTCACAATGAGTAGATATTCAATATTATTGTCATGATCTTTGTTTGTGGGTTTCTTCTCATATAACTTTTCATACTATTCCATTATTTTTATTGTTTCATAAAATAAAAAAAATAAAAAAGATCATATTTTTATTTTAAATAAATATCTTATCAATCTAAATCTGGAGGATGTATAAAAGCAATGGAGCCCCTTGAACGTACCAAATAGTACTCAAAAAGAGAGTTGTACATGGAGTTGGAGCCTCGCATGTGTGTGTATTTTGTGTCTGTAAAAGCATATGCCGTACTGTTAGAAAGCATATGTATGGTGCTGTCATATATACTGCTACTCCCCAGTTGGCATGTGACTTTATGGTACCATAGCTCAAAGAGTGGTTCAAAAATGTAGTAGCTCAAAGAATGGTTGAAACTTGAAAGTTCGAAACACCTTTTCTTATCCCCAATAATATGTGTATGTATGTATACATATATATATATATATCCTTCCCAATTTCTTTCACACCACTCATTTTCTTTTAAACCCAATTAATGGTCTAATTAAAGAGACTTTAGATACTCCAACTGTACTTCAAATATTACACGTAAAGTGAGTCTTATTCTAACTGTTCTTTTTCTTTTTCTTTTTAGCTGTCCTATAGAAATTAGGACGTCTTTGTAGTGCTCCTATGCTCATATCCCCTCAGAGCATCAACTCTTCACAAGTTGTCAACTGTTTTTTTTTTTTTTTTTGGAGAAAACATGAAAGAGTTGTGTGGACTGTGATCATTAGATTATATTCTTTTTAATAAAAACAAATTTCTTTGATTTTCGTAACATTCTAAAAATGAGAATTTTTACACGTCCAAAACGTCCCCATATCCAATATTAAATTACAATACCTGAAAAAATAAAAAACAAAAAGCAAAAAACGAAAAACAAAAAACATATGACGACAACAACAAAAAGAGAGAAGAAAAAAACAAATTGTATGTGATTTTCATGACATTCTAGAAAGAGGTTGGACATTTGCTCAACTTCAAAACTTTTTCGTATTAATACTTCCTCTTTCTCATTTAATTGTCCCTTTTTTTTCGGTTTAATCTTAATTGTCCCTTTTCTACAGTTTAATTTTTTAATATGATGATTTTTATTATATTAATAATGAATAAATTATTAAATTTAACAAGATTCTTGTGATACAATAATATTTGCTATACCTTTCAAAATGGATAGTGAGAATTCTAATCTCATAAAGTGGAGTGGATGGATAGGGTGTGTATTTCTTGCCATAACAAAAAATAAAAAATAAAAAAATAATTTACCAATTTTACTTTTTAAAAAATTAATTTACCAATTTTACTTTTGCGAGTCTTTACTTTTTATGAATTTTAATACAAGAATGTTAAATTGTTAATACTATAAAAATGAGTACATTAATATTTTAAGTTAGAGAATTATTTTGAGATGGATAAAACTGAAAAAGTGGACGCTTCTCTTGGAACCAATAAAATTTTAAAGTATCGTATCTGACAAATATATATATATATTATTTATTGGAGTTAGAATAGGACGTTCCAAATAATGAGATGTTAAAGATAACTAGGGGGAAGTGGTCCCTAAAAAATGTGCTGGTTCGGTGATAATGGACAGGACATATTTTTACTTTGCATCAAGTCATCACCACCAACCATTGTTGACCACCACCTACTAATGGTGGCAGTATGTTGACAGCAATATATGTAGCCCAGTCACTTTAACTAAATATATATATATATATATATATGGCACAAAAAATAAATAAATATAATTAAAGTAAAGAAAGTGACGGACAATAATGTCAATTCACTACTACTTACTCCAATCGCCAAGTTGAGTGATGCTAGTGCGGTGGTGCTGGCCACTCTCAGCCTGTATGTTTTGTTGGGAAGCACCTGAAGCAACTGGGGTGCGCATTGTTCGTTTCCCCTAAACTTGCACTGCCTCTGCACTGGCCTGCTATGGAGCGCCGCTAGCGAACAGTTGAACTGACCTCTCCCGTTGATTAGAAGAGTCTGTAAAACAAAATCAGTACCCGCCCTCAACAAAAATATAGTATATATCTATATATATATATATATATATATTTGAAGTACTATTTGTATGTACTTTGCTAGTTTTACTATTTGTCGTTCCTCTGTGTGGTCACTATAATGAAAAATCAAAATAAATACTAGTATCAAATTGAAATCTAAACAAAAGATAAGGCTTTAGGTAGGTCCATCACTTTACCATACTCATTTAACTTTAATCAATAATTTTACATGTCAGTTTCTCTAAGGAAGCTAGTCTCGCGTCCTTGGTTTAGAAATTTTATATATGATGTCCCGCTAAATAGTTTCAATACAATCCGTGATATTAGCGTATATATTCTCAATACATACATTGGAAAAAAATAATGGTTTCAAGCAAAGGAGTACAAACATAGGATTCGTTTCTAGTTTTTCTTATAGGACTACTCATATAAGTAGAACTTGTTCCATGTCCAATTTGGATAGGGTTTAAGTATTAGGTATGCAGCACTATCTAATAGTTTGAATTTTTGGATAAATGAGTAAGCGTCCATTCATTACAATTGGTATCAAAGGCAGACTCAATCTTTAATCCGGTGTCAAGCCAAGTATCCGGCTCGAAGAGCGTCCGGATTTGTCTCTGGGTAGGCAGGGTGGTTTGACTACAATCAGGGCGTTGCGCGGGTTCGGGGGGGGGGGGGGGGGGCAGAATATTACAAATAGAACTTGTCCCATATCGGATTTAGATGGGGATTGACGTGTGTATAAAATAGGTGGGTATGCAATACTACCCAATAGTTCAAATTTTTGGATAAATAGACAAGTGTCTACCTTTTACAACTACTAATGTGGTGTTATGTTTAATTTTTTGGTACTCTTCTTTGTTTTTTTGGCTTTGTTGTTGTTGGTAAGCTTGGTAAAAAAAATAAAAAAATAAAAATATTGACTACACTTAGTAATTCTGTTCAAGTCATTTATGTTTGAAATAATAATCATAATAATAATAATAATTTATTTACAAAAACCCCCATTCAAGTATAACATTTAACGATTTGTCTCTTGTCCTTGTTTTTGGTAATTTTATATAGTGTCCAACGACATTGTTTTGTTGCCAATCACAATTCGACGGACATAAACGTTTTTATTCTCAATACAATCTCACATAAGTTGTGAATAATAATAAATACAATCTCACATAAGTTTTGAATAATAATAATAATAATAATAATAGTTTATTTACAAAAACCGCCCATTCAATTAAAAAATTGCACGCCACTGGGTAGTAGGTGGTGATAAGCACACACAGTTCATGAGGGTTTGTACGTGATACTTTTAGTCTTGTACCATTTCAGAGTGATCACTTGATAGAAGAGAGTGCATCAATATTCTTATATATTGTACTACATTCATTAGGTTTTGTACAGGTTCTATTTTAAAAACATAATATATAGTTGTTAATTATTTATTTTTTTTAGTCGGTACTCACACACACATTATCTTTATTGAGGTTCAAATTTCTAACATTTTTTTAGAAAGTAGGAGTCTTGTACTGCTAGATCACACGCATATTGATAGTTGTTAATTATTTAGAAAAAATTGTTGGTAAAAAATAAAAAATAAATAAAAAAAGGAGAAAAGAAAAGAAAAAATATATATATATACCTGTGGTTCACCGATCCAACGAAATGGTTTGGTAGAGAGAGACAACTCTTGTTGATGACTGCTTGCGTGCCACCAGTCGCTCAATAACAAGTTGAACTCCCCATCATAAGGGAAAGGCTCTCTCACACCCTTTGGAGGGTATACTATCAGAGATCCATACAAACCAGCTGATCTTTGCATCCCATAGTGTCCATGGTAAAAAAATGTTCCCGCCTACACCATAACCACCATTTATATATATATATATACACACACACATATATATATACACTTATATATTTGTAAGTCATGTACAGTAGCATAAAAACAAAAAAAAAAAACCCAGGTTGCTTTTTGGTCTGGAAATGCAGTAGCATAAAAATAAAAATAAAAAACGTGCGTGTGTATGTGTGTGTGTGAGAGAGAGAGAGAGAGAGAGATCACTGAATTTACCCTATCAACTGTGAACCTGTAGAGAAACCATGTGTGTGTGTGCGTGCGTGTGTGTGTGTGTGTGAGAGAGAGAGAGAGAGAGAGAGAGAGAGAGAGAGAGAGATCACTGAATTTACCCTATCAACTGTGAACCTGTAGAGAAACCGTGTGTGTGTGTGCGCGTGCGTGTGTGTGTGTGTGTGTGTGTGTGAGAGAGAGAGAGAGAGAGAGATCACTGAATTTACCCTATCAACTGTGAACCTGTAGTGAAACCATGTGTGTGTGTGTGAGAGAGAGAGAGAGAGAGATCACTGAATTTACCCTATCAACTGTGAACCTGTAGTGAAAGGTTTCTCCTGGATTAATAGCACACTGTGAGATGGATGCAGTTCCATCAGCCCATGGTGTTCCAAACTACAAAAGAAAATGAGCAGAAAAAAAAAAAAAAAAAAAAAAAAAAAAAAAAAGGAAAAAGAATCATTTACACACTCACTATGCACTACATGACTAAATTAAGTTGCCTCCATAACAAAACATTTGCGTGTGATACATATATATTTATATATATATATATATATATATATATATATATATATATATAAAGAGAAAGAAAGATTGAATAACTTGTCTGATTCCATGCCAGTGAATGACAACTCCTTCAGTGTGAAGCTTGTTGGTAAGTTCAACATTGACAATATCACCGACCTCGGCATGGATGGTCGGCCCTGGAAACTCACCATTGATTCCCATCACCACACTCTCGATACAGTCCGGGGACCAGTACATGTACTCTACTTCCCATTTGTAATGCTTGGCCTTAGAACCTAAAGATGAATGAAACAAAAGTGAGAGAGAGAAGAACCAAATGAGAAATGCCCTTGAAGGTTTGTCAACCAAACTAGCAGAAAATGAACCCATGTTCTCCAATAAGGAGATCAACAAGCCAATGTGTGTATGTGTGAGATCAAACTGTTCCACATTAGTCACTATATATATATATATATGCGGTTCAGGGCTTTTATTCCTTTTTTAATTATCACTCAAGTTGCATGGGCCCTGTAGGGTATTTGTGTGTTTTCCATTCACCAACCAATAATTTTAAATTTCCAATTTTTTGGTCAAGTTGTTTTTTTTTTAATTCCTCTATTGTCTGTTTGGTTAAGCAAGAACTAACTCGAAAGAAAAAGAAAAAAAAAAAATTTAAATTTGTATGCGCTTGTTTAGAAGGAAAGTGAAAACTTTGGAAAAAGTAAGATTCTCGCATATTGTGAATTTTCTTTAAAACTTTTTCCGTACAAAACATGTGAAAATCTACTTTCTCCCAAAACTTAGCCACTTTGTATCTTTGTTTTCTTTTGTGCCCCTGTTAGTTGTTTCTCCTCTCACTCTTCTTCGCTTTCTCATTATTTCTCTCCACTCTTTAGTTTCTCCACAAATTTCACGCAGAGGTAAATTTTTTTTTGTAAATTGGTGTAATCCTTATTTAATTATTTATATTTGTATATATGCATATAAAATTAATTTTTTATTTCAATTATTTTGGGTTCCATAATTGATAATGATTGAGATCAAGTGGTAAACATACACGGTTTTTAGCTTTATTGGAAAATTAGGATTAATATTGGTGTTGTAGGTCATTGGGATTCTTAGTTTGATTGGAAACTTACAACCTCGAGATTTGAGTTTTATAATTATTGTATTCGTTAAAGAAACAATTTAGATATTAATAGAAATAATTATATTATTATTATTTTTTTTGTTTGTTAAAAATAAATATAAACAATTAGGTATAATGTGATTCAAAAATAAAAGATTGAGAATTTAAGTAAATATATATACACACACACACAATTATATAAAGGAGAATACAAAAAATTGTATCATGATATCACATACTATTTTATTCCATATTTCATTATTTCTTGCTAAAATAAATAATTAAGTATAAATACTATTACTCTAACATAAATTTATTTATTTTTATACTATTTAAAATTATAAGGGTATTTTTGGTAAATGAAATCATTTTTTTTTTCTTTTCATGCTATACAAACTACCAAAATAAGATTTTCTCACAACTTTCTTCAATAAATTTCATGCTAACCAAATGCATGATGGAAACTTAATTTTCTTTTCTTTCACTTTTACTTTCCATCAAAATTTTCCGTCTAACCAAACAGACCCTTAGAAAAGTTAAAATGAAATCATTATTTATAAATATTATCATTTATAGAATTTTCCTTCTTAATGTTGCAAGTACATGTGTTTTTACACTACCATCCTTACCATGACCCCGGCTGAATGGATCCTCCATAGAATCCTTCACCCCGTTCCTTTTCCAAAATATGGAATCTGCGGGGAGATGTTACCAGCACCCATAAGGGAGGATATCTACTGTGAGTACTGAGTGTTGGTTTTCGGATACCACTTTGTTGGAAACACTAGATAAGCAAATAAATGCAACTCAATATAATTTTTGGAAGAGAAAATGAGAAAAAAAATATTTTATTTCACTTGATCCAATCTTATTCATATTATTCTCATAATTTGCTAAAGTACATGAATATTGGTGCGTGCTTGTCGAGGCACCCAAATTGCTTGCAAAAGTGGAGTGCAGTGCGGCCAAGTTTAAATTTAGAGATTGCCACTATCGCTTTTAACTATAAATATAGCTAGGGTGAGTAGGGATTGTCCCAAGGGAAATTGAGTGTATTATGCTTGGAAATCAAGGTCGGATTAGTAGGTAGAGTGATCAAAGATATTTTAATTGGTTAATTAAACTACAATGTCAACTAAATGGATACAAGGTAAAGGAATTGACATAAAGTAAAATGTAGAGAATATAAGAGAGGGATCTTGGGACTTAGAGGTCACCACTAAACATCACCTTCTTAGACACTCAATGTGTAATGAATGAAGGGATTATATGTTGCAATAATAGTGTGTGTCATTGATTGAATCATCAAGTATGGATGACTAATTAAGTATACATTGTCTAGACAAATTAGTGAATAGCACAACATATCAAATTTAGCCATTATTCCTTCCTTTAAGTCTACAATCAATGCACATCATCAAATTAGAGAAATATACTACTTGCATTCATAAGCATAGAACATCAAACAACAAGTATGAATTGTCCTCCAATCTAAGAAAGTAAGGCAACTACACTACAACTAAGCTAAAGACTTGAAAATTAAACTAATTAAACTAAGGAATAGGCACAATCCATCAAGAAATGAGTATGAACTGTCAAACAAACCACAAGAGTATTCCATTAAAGCACTATGCCTTGACCATTACTAGATTCATAGCATCAACACACATAGACATGCATCAATATCACAAAACCTAGAGATAAATACATGAACATCTATTCTAGCATACATAGACATATGAATAGAATAAAATGATCAATTGGAAGTATTAAACCACACAAATCATTGTAGAAATAAGATTCATATACAAATCAAATGTTAAGACAAAGACAAGAATTATAACACAAATTCGCTCAAAATACAAAACATCAAAGTCTAAGAGGCATACTTAAGGTTATCTTTAGCCCCAAAAGAACGGTTTAGCCACTCATTGATGTAGTCATCCAACCCTCAAGGCCATCTCTATGGTAGGAATAATCTTCTTCTCCTTGATGGAAAACCTATATGAATGAAAGAACTCCCAAATGGTGTGTGTCTCTCTAATCTTTAGACTCGTCTAACCTTTTTTTTTTTTTTTTCTATGGTTCCTTTATTTAAGATTGTATATATGTAAAATGGCTTAAAATCCTTATATAGTTAACTCAAGTGTTAGACCCAATGGTCAGACCTCATGCACTAGGACCTCCAAATGATTGCACCACAAGCACACCTTTTAATTGGCTGGAACTCTGTTTTCCTCGCACTTGAGGAAGTTTGATAGATCACAAGGGTGGTCAGATCAATCGAAACATGGCGGCGCCTTTTTGGAATAAGACAAATCTGAGATATTTTTGGAATATTTTGGGAAAAGGACAAAAGTGGTAGGTGGGGATAAGATCAAAGAAGTCCGATCGATCGAAATAATGTTAGATCAATTGAAAATGGGAATTTCCAGAGGATAAGGACAAGAGGCTCAATCCATCTTGGCATGGTTGGAACGATCATTGTGAGATCGATCTGAGCTTAGTCTGATCGATCGAAGACTCCTGTTTTTCACCATTTTGCTTCCACTTTGCTCCTTTCTTCCACTAAGCTTGAGATTGCATCTTTTATGCTCTAATTCAGTTGGATTAGCTTATTTTGAGGATAAGTGCCTAAAAAGGGAAATAACATGAAATTAGACTAAAATAAGAAAATAAGATAGGATAAGGTCCTAGAATACCCAAGCTTAAGGGGTTTAAATGCGTACTTTTCAGCGCTCATCACACCCCTAAACTTAAATATTGTTAGTCCCTAGCAATGAACTATAAAGTAAAGGAATGAAATGAACAATTAAACAACTACGAACTAGAAAGCAATAAATGGATAACGCCATTTTCATAGGGAACACGATTGCATTTAGCATATGCAACAAGCCTTTTAAACCTCTAGGTTATCCTTAGTGGACGAGTGAAGTCTCGTAAGGGTTTCCAGAAATGATACCCACAAACATTAAGCTCATTCTTACAAAAGAGGCACCAATATTGCAAACAAGCATTGGGAGAAAACTACCTCAAGTATATAATTTTTTAACCATTTCCAAGCTATCTCCTAAAATCTCAACAGCAAGCAAATAAATATGGTCCTCCACACATCAAGACGAAGATTATGCAAATCAAAACAACTTTAGAATCCTTTTTATGTGAATCGGCATCAAATATGTTGCTATCTAAGCCAATTAAAAAAATGATCACATCCGGCCTCAAACTAACACATAAATCTAGTACCGATCATCAAGACAAAGAGTAGACCTTTTATTAAAGCTTTATTATTCTAGGTGCGCTTATTCTTTTCACACAATTTTTTTTTTTTTTACTAACCTAGAGGATCAAAGATGGAAGCATGGTGTAATGTAATAATCTATTAAGCTTTCTAGCGATCCATGAGGTCGAGCATTAGGTCAATGACTCCCAAATCGGACGGTTTTAGGGCATTAGGTGTTAAAATACCCCTAAGGACTTACAAGCTCAAATCGACTAGGCTACAAATCAAAACAACCTCCATCTAATCATTTCCCACTTCTCACCTTTTGGAAGAAGTCCTTACTTTTTTATTTATTTTTTGCAAACTTCTTCCTCCTTTTTTTTTTTTTTTTTTTTTTTTTTTTTTTTTTTTTTCAAGTTATTAACCTAGAGTTTGAGCCCTCCACCTTTCGGCGCGAGAAATTCAGTGGTTGATGAGGCTAGAATCCTAGCTACTCAATGAAAAGGGTTTGTTATCGACCTTTATCAAGAATGAAAGCTTTCAATACACTACTAACTCAATTGAGATATAACCAAATCAATAATCAACAAAGCATGTACCCCACAAATGAGTGCTAGTGTAGAATCCTAGAGTGAATCTCAAAGTAATCACAAAATCAAGATAATATGGACCACAAATGGAAGCATGAAATCAATCTTTCTAAAAATTTACTCCTAAATGGCATCCACAAGGCGTACAAGGAGTATTGGACTCTCAACTCAAGCAATTTTTAAATTTTAAGCAATATGGTTCTTAAAAGATCAAAATTGTAGCTAGTCATGGACCAATCATAGAAAATCCCTCAAATATACAAGTCATGCTTAAAATGTTGAATTGAAAACAAACATTGTAAAGAACACACATTACTCCCAAACTTAAATGGCACAGTGTCCTCAATGTGCAAAGAGAATAACATAAAAAGGATAGAGTACACCAGTGCAACTATGGCGAAGAATGGCTAGGACATAAGTATCCGAAGTGGGTGGTATAACCCCCCTCCCCCAAACTTGGGATTTGCTGTAATCCTGAAAAGATGGCACTGGAATAAAACCTA